GAAAAAAACAAACCCCAGCTGGTCTTTTTGCTCAGTTCAGTTTAGTTTCTGACTCTCACTCATGGGATCTTCATCCCCAGTACTCTGGTGGAGCCTATGGACCTCATCTCAGAAGAACTGCTTTAAATGCACAAAACAAAATACACAGGATTGCAAAGGAGACACATACTGAAATCCTGTTATTAACATATTTTAAAATAATGTACAGTATATTAATATATGTGCTTCTGTCTAGCAGCCAGTCTAATAACTATCATAATTGTTAAATACTAATGAGCATAAATGGCATTTCAAGATATCCTCAGCACATGTGATATGAAAATATCCATTAATATAATTGTTTTTGGTACTTCTAATAACACTATAGTTGTCTAGCAACCTTTCCAATTAAAGGAAATGCTAAATGTCAGTTAGAAATTAGATTAAATGAATTTTTTTCATCAAAATGTACAGGCCCCAATTAAAAATGTCAGGTTTCTAGTACCATGAGACCAGGAGTTCATTAACTGATTCCATTTAGACCATGAGCTGTTGGACCGATAGCAAACAGACTGGTTTTGTTTGACCACAGAATTTTAAAAACAAATCAGATTAATTACCAACCAAATGTGGTTTCCCATAAAAACATGCTTCTGGCCTCTTGGAGAAAAAAAATAAATAAAATATGAGGACTAAGCAATACTAGCCCGGCAGCCCCACAAGGCAACGTCCTACCAGACTGAATAGCAGCTGCCTCCTTCACAGATGAAAGGAACGCTCCTGTTTCACAGTAACTATAAATCCTGCCTTACCTTTTCATGCTATCTGCCTACTTTGTGTAGCTACTTCTTATTAATATTTAAGGTATTTTCTACCTCATAACCCTCTAAATAGGCAGCAAGTAGAAGATATTTGCTTTCTAATAAAGGTGGGGAGATTCTATTTATATGCCCACTGTTGTCCCCATTAACTTCTTTCAGTACTTTTCTTCCTTCCTTCCCTCATTTTCTTCCTTCCCTTCCTCCCTCCCTCCCTCCTTCCTTCCTTCCCTTCCTCCCTCCCTCCTTTCTTCCTTCCCTTCCTCCCCCCCTCCTTCCTTCCTTCCTTTCCTTTCTTTCTCTTCTCTTCTCTTCTCTTCTCTCTCTCTCTCTCGCTCACTTGCTCGCTCGCTTTCTTTCAGCTGGAGTGCAGTAGTAAGATTTTGACTCATGGCAACCTCCACTCCCTGGTTCAAGCGATTCCCCCTGCCTCGGCCTCCCAAGTAGCTAGGATTACAGGCACATGCCACCATGCCTGGCTAATTTTCTGTATTTTAGTAGAGACAGGATTTCACCATGTTGGTCAGGATGATCTTGATCTCCTCACCTTGTGATCCACCCACCTCAGTAACCCAAAGTCCTGGGATAACAGGCATGAGCCACTGTGCCTGGCCCAGTCCTCTTTTTTCAACAATTAACACACTTAAGACCCCTGGGCAGTCACCTGATTTGTAAATAAGGTAACTGAAACACAGTCATGCTCATTTCTTCATGTATTATCTATAGCTGTTGCTACCGACTAACTTTTACCCCCTCAAAATTCATCTGTTAAAGCTCTTACCCACAATGTGATGGTATTGGAAGACGGAGCCTTTGGGCGGTAATTAGGTTTAGAGGAGGTCATAAAGTTGAAGCCCTTATGAGGGGGTTGGTGCCCTTATAAGACACCAGTGAGCTTACTTCCTCCCTGTCCGTCTCTCTGCCTCCCCTTCTTCTCTCTCTTATGTGGGAACACAGTGAGAAGCTGGACAAGTGAGAAGCAAGCCAAGAGGAGAACCCCGACCAGGGAACCAAACTGGTCAGTAACTTGGTCATACTCTTCCCAGGCTCCAGAACTGTGAGGAATCAATTCCTGCTGCTGAAGACAACCCATCTATGGTATTTTGTTACGGCAGCCCAAGCTGACAAAGATAGCTGCGTTCATACTGCAGTGGAAAAGCTGAGTATTTGAGATTGGCCCACAAATTCAAAATTATTTACTATTTGATCCTTGACAGAAAAAGTTTGCCAGCCCATGCTGTAGTTGTTTGATGGAATTACTAGTTATAGCTCTGGAATTTTTACATAGAGGGGCTTAAGGGTGGGTGGGAGGAGTTATATTTGCACAGTAAGCATCTTCTTTTTCCTTAATGGAGATGAAGACAAAGAGCTAAAGAAAGCTCACTCTCCTCCTTATTACAGCCACGGAAAGCCACACACTTTACAAACCTCTCCACCAAGCCACTGGATACACTTGTGTGGCTGGAACTGTACCATACCATGACTGCCAACTTGGATTCCAAATCTGCTCCCTTATTTACCAGGAACACACCCTTAATCAATGGCTATGATAGCTATGAGATATCAGTAGCATACTAAAGATGTAGTTTTGGTTACAGAATTCACAACAAATGTTCGTTACAATAATTTTTACAATAATATCAACAAGAACAAAATGTTTTCATTAATAGATCAATTGGAATAAAGTGAATAAGTGAATGAGAAACTATAAATTGTTGACCACGTGTCTGTGGAATATTGTAGAAAAGAAAATGTTGGCGACTTTGACAAGCTAAAACATGGTAGTCTAAAAAATACAGGCTTTAGAATCATGGAGATAAATTCAAGTGCAGGCACTTCCTCATAATTTATTTGACAACTAGCTGTTCTAATCTTAGAACCTTAATCTCCTCATGGGTGAGATTATACTGCTCTGTTTGTGGGTTGCTGACATTTAATAAGATACATATGTAAACTGTGTTGAAGTGCCCGGCTATATACAATAGGCTCTCAAATGGTAGCTAGTGTTATTAATCATTAGATAATATTTTCTCACCATGTATCTTTTTCATGAGACGATTGTTTTTCTGAAAATGAAGTGACACTCAATGACACCCTTTTTCCACTATCTTCCAAGTTACTGAGACAATGCGTCAAGAGCAGAAAGGCTAGAATTATAAAAACTGACACCAGTTATAAGAGGAAACAGGTTAGAAGGGAAGAAGCCGCTTGATGTTACTCAGCAAACTGGCACCTGTGGAGACAGGGAGAGCGTTTCTGGGTCCCATGAGAAAAACCAACAACAGTTTTCTGTCTCTAGACTCTCTTCCTAACAGAAGTAGCCACACCAGTGTGTACTCAGCTGTCACAACCTGTGTGTGTGTGTGTGTGTGTGTGTGTGTGTGTGTGTGTAAGGGAAAAAGAGGTGACAGATTTTCTACTGGTGATTGGTTTTAATTGTCCCTCTTTGGCACCTTGCATTGCAAATATATCAGTTGGTTATTTGATATTAATCCTCCTGGGCCAGAGTTTCCTCATGTGCTTTGAAGGAAAAATAACTACCCATTTTATTACACAGGAATATTTTAAATATCAAGTCCTGAGGAATGTACAGATGTTGGATAGGAGGTTTCGGTCATCTTGCAGGATGGGGGAAGATTTTAAAACTGCAATTTTAGATTGGAGGGAACTTAGAATATAGTCTTCCCTTGATATATGAGGTGGGTTGGTCCCCGGTCCCCTCACACATGCAAATCCTCACATGCTGAGGACACACACACATACAGGAAAAGTCGGCTTGGTATACACGTTTCAAATCATGCAAATGCTGTATTTTTCATCCATGTTTAGTTGAAAAAATTGGTATGTAAGTGGACCCTCGTGGTTCAAACCTGTGTTATTCAAGGGCCAAGCATACTAAGAGTCAACTACCAAACAGGTTGCCTTGTTGAAAGGGAATCTGTCATTGCAGAAGGCAGAGCATAGACCAAAGGAGACATTTCTGCTTAATACTGAAAGGGACTCTGAGCTCCCTAACACATTAGCAAGAAACTTCCATATTTACTTGATATTTAGCATCCCTCTTCCACTTCCACCACTGCCTTAGCTTTCAACTATTTGTGTTGGACACAATATTCACATTTAACTATAGGTCTATTAAGCATAAGTACTCTAAGTCTTCATGCTCTCTACAGCTATTTACATTCTACCTCACAGGTTCTGGATGCTCCATAACTATTTGATAACAAAAGTGTAAACTGAAACTGATGTTCAAGTATAGATCAAATAAATGTGATACAGCCAGTAAAAACACTACTCCTGCTAGTCTCATTCTTTCTTGGAACCATAAGTAGGAATTACATTGATTTAATTATGTTCATTTCTACGTTGCCACAGTATAGACGTTAATTTATCTCTTTGCTTGATTTCTTCCCTCCATGTTAACTACAGAGAAGGTTTTATTTAAGCAGGTTATGAAAAGGAAGGACTGTTATTTCAAAATACTTCACCACAGACAAGCAGTCATTTTAGATAAAATCAATTAAGTGCAGTTATCCAAACATGTATTTAATTCTTGGCAATAAGAAAGCCCTACCCAATGCCCGATGACCTAGAAACCAGAACTAGGAGATTTCCTCATGCAAATTAAATTTGTGTCACACTCATCAGTTAAAAAGATGGCAATGAAGGTCAAATGTGCATCAGCAGTGTAAAATAAAGGATTCCTATCCATATTTGCAGGATGTGTCAATGTGGTTAATTAATTTTTGAGATAGTATTCTTTGAAAGAATAAACTTTGTGAATTGATTATGAAATGAGAAATGCCTAAAGAAAGTTGAGAATGTAAAATAGGCACTCAGCTTGATTAACTTTACCAGCTTTAAAATAATTCATATAATAAGGTAAAAGACACTGGAATTTATTTTATGGCAGTGTTATAAACTCCAAGAACTAACTACATTATAGTAGAGTTTACAGCTTGTTTCTCTTCAAGTCTGTTTTCCATTTTGTATCTTAAAGGCTAAAGATTCAAATCTTTACTCATAGAATTAGGGTGTTTTTTCCCTTAAAAAGTAAACAAAATATAAATAAAGGGAAGGAAAATGTCATTTTACATTGACGGGAATTAAGTGCTGCAAAATAAAGTATCTTTCCTACTCTTCAGCTAATAACATATTAATACTCTGGATACTAATAAGAAAAAGCAGATGCAGACAACATACCCGTTTCCTCAGATTGCAGGTAAGAGTGAGATTCCTTGAGAACGAGTTTGCAAAAGCTGTGTAAAAGTCCAGGACTTTGAGCAAGGCTTCCCGCTTGATGATGTGTAGGTCACAGTATGTCAGGGCCCGGACATTTGCACATGCATGGGCAAGGGTGGTTTCCTTCCAGAAGATGTCTCCAAATACATCACCCTTCCCTGGAAAACAGTGTAAGATCCATATTCAAGCATCTACCACTGTTCTTCCTGTAATCACTATTGTTGTCAGTTTCATATACCGTATCGACCTTTTAGCATAACTTAGAGCTGAGGGTATAACCACATCTATATACACATACCAATGTACAATGGCTTCATATAATATGTAAAGTAACATCACCCCGAATTCAGTTATTGATGAAAATCTGTAGTGGCATGAATAAATAGATCCAACACTGAAGACAAACACCTCATTTTAGCAAATAATTTCATTAACTTCTGCCACCTTCTTTTCCTATTTTGACTAGAAGGAGTGACAGTGACTTTTTAGTTTCATTCTTGCCTGTGCTTCTTCTGGTAAAGATAATGAAATGCAATATAGAAGGATCTGCTGTAACAGTCTTTATAAATGTAGGGCTGATCCAACATATATTAAATACAGATTATCCAATAGGTAGTTATTGTGCTCCATCCAAACAAATTAAAATTTGCCAGGACTTAGTTGCCCAAGAATACCCTTCCCTCTCTACCTAGCCAACCTTATCCAGGTCCTAAGAGTCCAGCTCAAGAGCTCCCATCCACAATTACAAAGCTAATGGACCCAGGTTGCCTAAAACATGGAGACTCAAATGTGCTACCCCTTGAACAGTTCTATAAAAAGTGCTATACTATCATCAAATGTAGATGTCCTTTTAAAATTCTAGAAATTGCACAGGAATCACCTATTCACTTCAGAGCACTACCCACTGGTGGCCTGAACTCCAACCATTTATCATTTGAACTCAAGTACTTAGTTGCCCAATAAAAATGAGAAAGAGTCTAAGGTTAAAGTCCCAAAAGGCCTTTCTGCTGAGGCAGTTCCATAAAAGCCCCTGGTTTCTGAAGTGTAGTCAACTGCACTCTTTGTTCAACTTCTGTGTAAAAGGAAAAGTTTTAAAGTGAAAAAGACAGGGGGAATATATCCAGGAGGGAAACATCTTCCTACAGGCACTCCGTTAATGATTTATTCTTTCTGCACTCAAACCACAGAGGTGAGCAACCATCTGCTGCCATCATGCAGATTAACATCAGAACCAACAGGAAAAAAAAAAAGAAGAAGAAGAAGAAGAAGAAAGACCTTGTTTAACCCTTCAGGTCAGCCAGACAACCAGAGAGAAAAGAAAACGTGTAACCACAGAAATGAAATGGAGACAAAGACAGTGACAAGACAGAGACAGAGAGGTTGAGGGAGAGAGATTACAGATTCTTAGATTCTTTGCTCACCTAAGTAGTTGGGAAGCCCTGAGAGAAACATGGGGCTTGGTTTCAAGCTTAAGAGGCACTTCAGGTTACAAAGAGAAAATACGTACATGACTGACAGGTGATTAAAACCGCCACATGTTCATGTAATTAGCATAAAATAGCTATAATAAATATTTAATTACTCTTAAACAATTCATTTGTTTCTGGACCTTCCAAAAATTCCTTTTAGTTTGTGACATGGATGAGCAAATCAACTCTCTAATAGCCATTCATTTGCCCAAGGAAGAGAGATTAGAGATCTGGTAGCCAAAGAGTGTCTCTAGGGTAATACAGTATCACAATAACCAAAGGGAGACTTTAGCTATAGAAACTCTACCTCCTTTTATAGAGATGATTTTCAGATGTCTATACACGGTATTTTCCTCAAACTAGCAATCCCAATTACAGGCATTTATTCTAATTGCATAACAAGAAGGGCCAAATTTATTTACAAAAATGCTCACTGAAGTTAAATTTATAATCGACAAAAATTGGAAATAAAGTCAACAAATAAATAAATTATAAAATATTATGCAAGCACAAGGTATCAAATTTTACAAAGTGACATGGAGATGATATCCAGGTATATAAAATAGTTAAAGCAGCATATAAAACCATACATACAGTATAATCTCATTTTATGTACCCCATCTCCCTACTCCCAAACATGCATACATATATGCGCACAAACTACAGAAGTAAAAACATCAAAATGCTAGATCCTCTCTGCATTACGGAACAATGTATGGTTTTTATTTTGTCTTATAATTTATGTGTAATACTTTGTAAATAGAAGATATCAACAACTGCTATATTACCACAGTTCCTGATGGTACCCAAAAAAAAGCTAAACTTTTAAAGGGCTGCTTTTACCTTATTTCTCTTTACTCTTATTCCTTTTTACTTTTATTCTTACTCTTTCTATTCTGGATTTTTCCTTCAACAGATTACAAAAATGGTTACATTTCTCTATGATTTATTTCTGCAACATTTTCTCAAATTGTCAGTTATAACCCCTTACCCATTTTTGAATGTTCATTACTTTTCAGCTATTTGGTTTTCATATATGGCACACTTAATAATAATCAATGCTTTTGACTCAGCATTTTCACTTCTGGGAATCAAAAGATTATAACTACCACATATAATATTCATTATAGTGTTGTTAATGATAACCCCAGATTTTAAAAAACCTATATGCCCAATAAGTATGGCAATTGTAAAACTATGCAGAAAATATCAGTTCCCAAAGAATTAAAACAACTTTTGAGATAATATGCAAAAAAATCTTAATTTATAATGTTAAATAAGAAATAATTATATAAAGAATAATAATATGAATATGGTTACAGCCAAAACAAAATATATAAAAATGAAACTGAGGTGCCAATACTAAAAGAATAGTCAATTAATAAATCTACTTTATCTTTTTTTCTTAAGAAAATTATCTTGATAGAACCAAAGTATAATGAATTTTATAATTATATGTTATTATATATAGTTTATTAGTCTGTTCTCACACTGCTAATAAAGATATACCTGAGACTGGGTAATTTATAAAGACAAGAGGTTTAACTGACTCACAGTTCTACATGGCTGGGGAGACCTCACAATCATGGCTGAAGGCAAATAAGGAGCAAAGTCATGTCTTACATGGTGGCAGGCAAGAGAACTTGTGCAGGTGAACTGCCATTTATAAAACTATCAGATCTCATGAGACTTATTCACTACCATGAGAACAATATGAGGAATCTGCTCCCATGATTCAATAATCTCCACCTGACTCTGTCCTTGACATGTAGGGATTATTACAATTCAAGGTAAGATTTGGATGGAGACACAGCCAAACCATATCATATAGTATATACTATGTTATATTAATTTATCAATTGATATAAATTGAGCTAAAAGTCTAAAGGGATACAAAACCAAAAGAAAATGCATTTGAATAATAATAGCAACAGGATTTAAGTAGTGTGCTTATGGTTTTTCTTCTTCCTACTTTATGATTTCCAAATTATTCTATGTTAAAAAATAGCAAGCCATTTTCACAGATGTCTTTCTTTACACTTCTTAATAAAACTGAATTCATAAGATATATACATAGATTTGTAGATTGTAAACAAATATTCATTGATTATTAAGTGCATTGTCAATAGGTAAAAGATATTCAAAATATAAAGGTAGTTTCTTTTTACCAATGTAGGCCATTTTTAATCACAGAGGATTCAAATATCTGTTATATATTTTATTTAGCTTAACTGAAGAAATTAAACACTCTTACATAATTTCTACCTAAAATTTTAAAATTTAAATTATTACTTTACTTAAATTATTATCTTTTTGATATCATGGGGAAATATAAAGTCTATGATATAGTATGAATAGCATATAAACTAGAATATGAATTTATGATAAAATTAATTTATTGCTCCTCTCCCAAAAAGTTTAGAAAAACATAGCACAGTTAACAAAAGTATATAATTCTGCTCCCAACATCAGAATTCACTTTACATAATAAGCAACACTGTGTTTCATTTTGTAGTATTTTCATTAGGATGTGCAATAGGTTAACTGGATATTAATCTAATCAACAGTTTCAAAGTGTGTTTACTTTTTTGGCTTTCTATGTCACCTATTAGGCAATCAATTCACAACAAACTTTTACCGCATTTCTGGGACAATGGTCATCTTTTTAAAAAAATTAATGTCCCAGCCAAAGTAAAGTTGCTTAATGTCCTTCTTCAAGCATATTATGCACATTTATAGTAAGTGATCTCAGAAATCATAGGCTGTGAAAATGTGGGATTATGCATGGAATATCTAACATGCACGCATCTAATATGCATGGAATAGCTAATGAAGAAACAATAAATCTTTTCTTTATGGCACAAAAGATTTTGCACACTTTCAGGGCTCGGAACTCTTGTTCATTTTCTTGACTACAGAACATTTGATGATGGTTTTTAGGTCAGCTCCTGCTGGGTACAAATAGTCTCTGCTATAAACATTTTAGAGCTAGAGATAACTAACCTCCCCTCAAAGTACTAAAATTAGTAGAAAAGCTTGTGCTAAACATGAAAGTTGTTGTTTGGTCTATTTATATTTTCTCAGTTCTTTGCATCAAGTCTTATGAAGTATTTCATTGCTAACCTACAGGAAAAAGGATTGTAAAATAGAAATTAGTGTTAAAGACTCATATAGTAGGAAACTGGAAAATTTAAGACAAAACAGAGACAGAGTTACAACATAATTAAAGGAGTAATACAGACTGTGGTATGCTTGGGGATTATGGTCCTCTAAGGAGCTCATTTTAGGCCAGATTTATTTTTTCAAATGTGAGACACATTATTTGGTGAGTTAATGACATGAATAAAATAAATGCATAAAAATTACTAGAGTTGGGCAGGCTCATGCCTGTAACCCAGCACTTAGGGAGGCTGAGGCAGGTAGATGACGAGGTCAGGAGTTTGAGACCAGCCTGGCCAACGTGGTGAAACCCCATCTCTACTAAAAATACAAAAATTAGGCAGGTATGGTGGTGGGCACCTGTAATCCCAGCTACTTGGGAGGCTGAGGCTGGAGAATCACTTGAACCGGGGATGTGGAGTCAAGATCACACCACTGCACTCCAGCCTGGGTCACAGAGCAAAGCTCCACCTCAAAAAGTAAATAAATAAATGCATAAAAATTACCACAGTTATTCATCAGTGAAAACT